TATAACCAAGCCTATAATTTGACTTAAGATATTCTAAATATGCATCTAGAAAATTTGACAAAAAGTCAATCAAAAACACTAAATATAAAAATATTGAGTAAGAAAGGATGCTAGTAATCCTAGAGTCCACGATTTCCATTGTTGGCCCATTGGCATGTGAAATATGTCACTCCCTAAAGGCAGGCATGAATCTAGATCATGACAGACTAGGTTTCCAACAAAATAAATCCTTTAAGGTGGATTATGAAGTGAGACCTCTTATAAAGGCTCACTAAGTAATGAGCTTAACGAATGAAACAATGGTTGTTACACTCAACATGAATTTACTATTAACTTGTCTATAGTAGCTCTGTTAGTAAGCTTCATGGACCAAATGAAGGTGCTCCTTAACCATGTTAAGTATGAAGTACTGAGTAACATAGTTAAATGGAAGGGTCCAGTTTGCTTGGTAGTAAATTCTCACAGCCACAGTCAGTTAATTTATTACAAAAAGGTAAATGATCATCGAACTATAATACAATCTATAGTTTTATATATTTTTATGGCAACAATGCACATGAAATGTTCAAAGTCCATGAATAACTAGTATGCTTACATAATTTAAATGTACTTTCAGAAACATATCTGCATCACAAATATTTATCCACTTTCAATTTAGTTAAACAAATGCACTTTGAATGATAATAACTACATTGAATGGAAAAGAAACCTTAATATCATCTTTAATTATGACAAGATCACATGGGTTCTTTCTAACCATGAGCCTAAATCACTAACTCTCGAATCAACTCCACAAGATATTGAACATCATAAAAAGTGACATGATGCAAATAAGCTAACTAAATGCTATATACTGGGCTCTATAAACAATATATCGTAAAAACAGCATGAAGGCATTGATAATGCTACTGGCATAATGTTGCACCTACATGAGATGTTTGGTACAAAAATAAAGTCTGCTAAGGTGAAAGCAATCAATAATTTTAAGGACCTTAAGCAGAAACTTGGGGAGCCAGCTAGAGATTACAAGCTGAAAATGATCTCGTCTCAATGAGGTAGAACTACATGGTGCTAAGATAGATGCAGAAATGCAAATATTAGTGATCGTTCATAGCTTGAATTCATCATTTTCATAATTCAAAATAGATTATGAATTGCACACTAGGGATTTCATCCTTAGTGGGCTAATGAATGATCTCCAAAATGTGGAAAAGGTTATTGACTTGGAAAAGAAGCCTGAAGCACATGTAGTTTCCACTTTTAAGCCTAAATCCAAGGGTAAAAGGAATAAAGTTAGAAATAAAAAGACTACTAAGGATTTAATGGGAGCAAAGAAAAACCCATGAAGAAAATAACTACTTCAAAAGACAACACCAAAGGAAAATGTTTCCCTTGTGGTGTGAAAGGACATTGGAAGCGAAACTACAAGGTTTACCTTGAAGAAATCTAAAAGAGTAAACACGGTATGGGTTTTCTAAATATGTTAGAAACCTATTTAGTGGTTGATTCTACAAATACTAGGATAGTAGATTTTGGAGCCACTAACCATGTTTGTAATTCTTTACATGGGTTTCAACAAAGGAGAAAATTGAGTAAAGGGTAGTTTTGGATGAGGATGGCAAATGGCACATTCATTTCAGCATTAATAGTGGAAGCCATTATTCTTCAATTTCCTTATGGTCATAGCTTAGTTTTGGAAAATGTTTTTTACATTACAAAGACTTATAAAAATTTGATTTTTGTATTTTGTTTAATAAAGTCTAGATATTCAGTTTATTTTAATGAGACACTCCCTATTTATTCGAATAAAGATTTTATTTGTTCAAGAATTGTAAGATATAATCTTTATTTCCTTGAGCCTGCGATTTATTTTGCAAATGATGTAGAAGCAATACGATTTAAAACTGAAAGAGTCAAAGAATCTAGGATAAATCAAAACTATCTTTGGCATTTGCGTTTAGGTCATATCAATCAAAATAGACTCAATAGGCTTATAAAGGATGGTACTTTACCAGTCATGGTTAAGGGTCCTTTGCCAATATTTGAGTCATGCATTGAAGCAAAAATGACTAAAGGGCCTTTTAAGGCAAAAGGTAACAGAATGCCAAACATTTTAAACTTGGTGCACACAGATGTGTGTGGACCAATGAATGTATAAGCTAGAAGAGGTTATGAATATTTAATAACTTTTATTGATGACTACTTAAGACATGGCTGTGTATTTAATGCATAGAAAAAGTGAATCTTTTGAAATGTTTCGAGAATTCAAAGTCAAAGTTGAAAAACAACTAGGTAAGCCATTGAAACAACTTCGATCAAATCGGGGTGGTGAGTATTTATTAGATGAATTTTACCAATATCTCATTAAAAATGGGATAATTTCCAACTTAGCAGCACCAAGGACATCGCAACATAATGGTGTTGAAGATGTCATAACATAGTCTAATTCAAGGGTGAAATAGAAACACAAGTTGAACATAAAATAGTGGTGCCTCAACATAGTGGGAGGATTATAAGACAACTAAAGAGATACATGGGTCTAGGAGAAAACATGATTACACTTTTACATGAAATTGAATCTGACCTTATTACCTATAAAGAAGCTATTAAAGATGTAAAAGCTGAAGAGTGGCATAAGGCAATGAAATTTGAGTTGGACTCCTTAGATTCCAACAAGGTCTGGACTTTAGTAGATCCACTTGAAGGGATAAAACCCATAGAGTGCAAATGGATTTATAAGAGAAAAAGAGGAAGCGATGGAAAGGTAGAGACCTTCAAGGCTAGACTAATGGCTAAGAGTTTTACCTAAAGAGAAAGGATTGACCATGAGGAAACCTTTTCCCTAGTTGTTATGCTTAAATCCATCAGGATCCCCCTATCCATAGCCACACATCTTGATTATGAGATATGAAAAATGGATGTCATGACCACATTTTTAAATAGGGATCTTGAATAGCGTATTTGTATGGCTTAACTAGAAAGTTTCATTAAAAAAGGCCATAAGCATAAGGTCTGTGAATTGCACAGATCCATTTATGGACTCAAGCAAGCATCTAGGTCTTGGAACATAAGATTTGATACTGTTATCAAATCATACAGTTTCCAACAATATGTTGACAAACTTTGTGTCCATATAAAAGGATAGAGGATAAAAAGGTTACTTTCTTAATCCTTTATGTTGATGACATTCTAATCATTGGGAATGATTTGGGAATGTTATCAAAAATTAAAGGTTTGTGGACTCAACAATTCAATATGAAGGATTTAGAAAAAGGTAGCTATGTTCTAGGGATTAAACATATAAGGGATCATAAGAACAAGTAGATAGCATTATCTCAAGCATCCTACATATACAAAATTTTGGCCAAGGTTTCTATGAAAGATTCCTATAAGGGCTTTATGCCCTCTAGACATGGAATCAAACTTTCTAAGGAGATGTCACCTAAAAGTCCAGTGGAAGTTGAAAACATGAGATGGATACCATATGCATCTGCTGTTGGAAGTCTCATATATGCTATGTTGTGCATTAGGCCAGATATCTGTTATGTAGTTGGATTGGTTAGTAAATTTCAATCAAACCAAGGTATGGATCATTGATTGCAGTCAGTGCATTTTTAAATATCTTCGTAGAACAAAGAATTGCATGCCTGTGTATTTTGGAACTGGGCTTGTAGCAGTAGGGTACACTAATTCAGATTTTCAATTTGATGTTGATTCTAGGAAATCAACATTAGGATTTATTTTCACCATTGGGAGAAGAGCCATAGTTTGGAGGAGTGTAAAGAAATCTTGTATTGCAGACTCCATTATGGAGGCAGAGTATGTTGCAGCTTGTGAAGTAGTAAAGGAAGCTGTATGGCTCTGTAAGTTCTTTATGGTCCTTGAAATAATTTCAGATGCGAACAAGCCTATTACACTTTACTGTGATAATAGTGGAGCAGTGGCTAATTCAAAAGAACCACAAAATCATAAAGAAACAAAACATATTGAAAGGAAGTATCATCTCATTCGAGAGATTATACAACGTGGAGAAGTACTTATGAAGAAAATTTCAATAGAACAGAACTTTGCCAATCCATTCACAAAGACTCTAACATAAGAGAGTTTCAATGGTCACTTAGAAGGTCTTGCAATGAGAGATATGTCATACTTGTTTTAGGACCAATGAGAGATTGTTAGGAATTTTGAGAATATGGTGCCTTGGAAAGCAAGTATATTCTCATGTCTAATTTTATTTAATTTATTTGAAATGAAAGTACATTTTGATAATAAGACAAAGAGTTTGTTTTAGGTAACCATTCATTATCTAGTTATTAAGGTACCATGATTCTGTTGAGATATTAAATTACATTTGTATGAAGAGTCATACATAGGAGACATGTATTTTAATTGAATCTAAAAACTATCCACAGTCATATAATAAAGTGGTGTGTTAGGCTATCATGTATAGATTACTTTTAATTAACGAATGTGATTCATTTCAAGAGAATGATGAGTCTTAAATCATCGAAATGGTTGATTTCGAGTAATGAACTATGTATTTAATGTATAGAAAAAGTGAATCCTTTGAAAAGTTTTTTGAATTCAAAACTGAAATTGAAAAGCAACTAGTCAAGGCATTGAAACAAGTTTGATCAGATTGGGTTGGTGAGTATTTATCAGATGAATTTCAACAATATCTCACTAAAAATGAAATGATTTCCAATTTAACAGCACTGAGAACACCTCAACATAATGGTGTAGCTTGAAAAAGAAATAAAACTTTTTTAGAAATAGTTAGATCAATGATGTCCTATGGTAACCTTTTAATCTCATTTTAGGGATATTGTATGCAAACTACTGAGTACTTGCTTAATTTTGCTCCATCTAAGGTTGTGTCTAATGTAACGACTTCTTCCCTCGATCATTATCGACGTCCGAGACTTCCGACTGAACCCGTCAAGTCTCAAACAAGCCTTAGTTAAGCTTCCAAACAATTTAAACTTAACTTGCAATTTTAATGCTATAGTTCACTTAAACCAAATGATCACAATATTCAAAATGTATCACCTAGACACCAAAAACCAGGTTTAATAACTTTACAATATATTCAACATAATAAGTGGTAATCATTACACAACCTTAAGTTTTAGCAAATACATTTCCATAAACTATTTATCATTATAAGTCTGACTACTTGACACAACATGACCTCTAGGCAGAGGAGCGACTCGGAGTGGAAGTCTAAGAGATGCCATTACCTACGTTGCAGTTAGTCTTGATGTGCTGGGTGATGCACTTACACCAATTACTTATCTACAAAAGGAAATGAGGGGGGTGAGTCTCATAGACTCATTGATCATTAACTCCATGAGTAGGGCATAAATGGGAAATAAGATAAAGGCAGAAGATTTGAATATTAAAAATATGAGAATATATGTAAACAAATTAAATAAAAAAATTGGAGTTTGTGCCTTATATGTAGAACCAATAAGTTAATGCAAGATAGTCATTTAAATCAAATATCAAACCAATTCATGTAAAGTTTTCTACCATTGAAATCATTTAGCAACTGGCTTAAAGCAATTTAATATCACCACGCGTGCTCCCGTAAACTCCATCATTAACAAAGTTTACATGTAAATTCATAAATCACCTTGTACGCGTGGAATTAAATCTAATGTCATCGTATAAGTAAGGGAGCTATAGGAAAACTATTAACTTTCACCATGCGAAAAACCATGTACGTAAAAACCCAAAGAGATATCACTTTCGAGTAGGAATAAAAAAAATAAAGAACATGCGGACTCGTTTCCATGTAATAACATCCGAAAGCTTTGTTCCACTGGATCCCCACATGCTGTAGTAGTCTCAACGATGTTGGCCGACATCAGAGAAATCAGGTGGTCACAACCGCATATCACAACTTGTGGGCTAGCCATGTACAATCACATACCATGGCCCTAGCCATGTCTAACAGCCTGTCGGTGACTTAAAGATTCTCTAGCTAGAGCTCACTTGTGCATAAAGGTCACACTTAACTGAAGTGACAACCGACCCATTCTTGAATCTCCTGGCTTGATAAAACCAATTTAAAATATAGTTGGGTTCTCAAAAGTTCATTTCAAAATCATTTCCAA